ACACACACACACACATATATACACATATATAATATATAAAAAATATATAATTTTTTATCTAATATAAAACTTAAATAAATGGCCAACAAGTATATTTTAAAAATACAGTCCCTGGCCAGGCACAGTGGCTCACACCTGTAATCCTAATACTCTGTGAGGGCAAGATGCTTAGACTGCTTGAGTTCAAGAGTTCAAGATCAGCCTGAGCATGACTGAGACCTCCCTACCTCTACTAAAAATAGAAAATCTAGCCTGGTGTTATGGCAGATGCCTGTAGTCCCAGCCACTCAGGAGGCTGAGGCAAGAGAATCACCTAAACCCAAAAGTTTGAGGTTGCTGTGAGCTGTGATGCTGCTGCACTCTACCAAGTGTGACAAAGTGAGACCCTATCTCAAAAAAAAAAAAAAAAAGCAATATCATTTTTATTAAAGGAATGCAAATTAGAGCAATGACAAACCAGCAGATGGCCAAACCAGAGGAAAGACTCATATCTAATGCTGCCAAGGGCTTGGCGCCTATGGCTCTAGTGGCTAAGGCATCAGCCACATACACCTAAGGTGGCGGGTTCAAATCTAGCCCAGGCCCGCCAAACAACAATGACGGCTGCAACCAAAAAACAGCTGGATGTTGTGGTGGGCACCTGTGGTCCCAGCTACTTAGGAAGCTGAGGCAGGAGACTCGCTTAAGCCCAGGAGTTGGAGGTTGCTGTGAGCTGTGATGCCACAGCACTCTAGCCAGGGTGACAGCTTGAGACTCTGTCTCAAATAAAATAAATAAATAATGCTGCCAAGGACATCTAGAAATGATTATTTGCATATACTGTTGAGGAAAATGCTTATTTCAACAAGACTCCAGAGTTTAGGCTTGGCGCCTGTGGCTAAAGTGGCTAAGGTGCCAGCCACTCACACCTAAGGTGGCGGGTTCAAATCCAGCCCAGGCCCACCAAACAACAATGATGGCTGCAACCAAAAAGAAATAGCCAGGTGTTGTGGCAGGCACCTGTGGTTCCAGCTACTTGGGAGGCGGAGGCAGGAGACTCACTTGAGCCCAGGAGTTGGAGGTTGCACTCTACCCAGGGGGGACAACTTGAAGCTCTGTCTCAAAAAAAAAAAAAAAAAAAGACTCCAGAGTTCAAACAGACCTGTCTCAGTGCTTCCACTTGCTGTGTAGCCTAGGTACATTATATAGACTCTCTAGTCCTCAGTTTTCCAATCTGTAAAATAAAAGTACCCACCTCAAACGATAGAAAAATTAAATTGTATACTACAATGCAGATAATGCACCTGCAAACAGCAAGTACAATAAATACTAAGTTTAGCTACACCAACTACTAAGGCATTCACTTCACGACATTCACATTATGACTCCTGTACTATACATATCTGTCTATTGTACTCCACAGATGAAAATGAAATAAATCAAAATGAGGCCACAAAAATCATTTCCCTGAACACATTAATTATGCTAACATTCACTATGAAGAGTAAATGACAAAGATCACAAAACACCGTTCAAAATAAGTGTTATTGGCCCTTAAGAAGACACAGAGGCATTTAACCACTGGGTGATTGAAAAACAGATCTCATATGGTTTTTCCCCAGATCTACCCATACAGGAGATCAAGAAACAATGACCAACTCAGTAAAAAGGCTCCCTGACGCCTAGAATCAGTTCTTGAGATGTCAAACGACATCAGGGAGAAATGGCAAATTCCAGGTCCGAACAGAACATATTAAAAATGAGCGTTGGGTGGCACCTGTGGCTCAGTGTGTAGGCCGCCAGCCCCATATACCAAGGGTGGCGAATTCAAACCAGCCCAGGTCAAAACTGCAACAAAAAATAGCCAGGTGTTGTGGCGGGCACCTGTAGTCCCAGCAAATTGGGAGGCAGAGGCAAGAGAATTGCCTAAGCCCACGAGTCGGAGGTTGCTATGAGCTGTGACGCCGCCACACTCTACCAAGGGCAATATAATGAGACTCTGTCTTTCAAAAAATAAGAACAAAGGTGGCTACTATGGCTCAAGGAGTAGGGTGCTGGCCCCAAATGCCAGAGGTGGTGGGTTCAAACCCAGCCCTGGCCAAAAGAACCTAAAAAAAATAAAAAAAATAAAAACTGTAGTCCCAGCTACTTGGGAGGCTAAGGCAAGAGAATTGCTTAAGCCCAACAGTTAGAGGTTGCTGTGAGCTGTGACGCCACAGCACTCTGAGGGTAACATACCAAGACTCTGTCTCAAAAGAAAAAAAAATGACAGGCAGTGCCTGTGGCTCAGTGAGTGGGGTGCTGGCCCCAGCCAAACTGCAACAAAAAAATAGCCAGGTATTGTGGTGAGTGCCTGTAATTCCAGCTACTCGGGAGGCTGAGGCAAGAGGATCACCTAAGCCCAAGAGCTGGAGGTTGCTATGAGCTGTGACACCACAGCACTCTACTGGGGGCAAAATGAAACTCTGTCTCTAAAAAAAGAAAAAGTGAGCCTGGAGCCTGAAACCCTATTAGACCCCACAGCAAACTCTCAACCACAGGGTCACAGCAGAAGGGTTCCACTGTCCAAAGACACATTAATACAAGCTTCAAAATATAATAATTACAACTTACTACAACTCAAATAGGTTCAAATCCACATGTTCATAATATTTTTTAAAGCACACAAAACTATAATTGGTCACCAGCCAGTCACGATAGCTTACACCTATAATCCCAGCTCTCTGAGAGGCCGAGGCGGGTGGATCATTTGAGCTCAGGAGTTTGAAACCAGTCTAAACAAGAGTGAGACCCCTGTCTCTACCAAAAACAGAAAAACTAGCCTGGCGTAGTGGCCAGTGCCTGTAGTCCCAACTACTCAGGAGGCTACGGCAGGAGGACTGCTCAAGCCTAACAGTTTGAGGTTGTTATGAACTATGATGACACCATGGCACTCTACTCAGGGTAAGGGAAGGAGACTGTCACAAAAAAAAAAAAAAAAAAAAAAATTGGTCATCTTCAGAAGATGACAGGGAACCAATTCACTATCTTGGAAACTGGAAAAGTAAAAGAATCAAGAATGTATTCGGCTTTTCTACATAAACTGTATCATTGTATAAGCAAACAGATAAGCGAAAAAATGTCTTTTAGAAGTATTTAAGCCAATAACTGAAAAATGAATGACAGAATTAAGATATCACCATTTGTCATCCTTAGTAAATAAGTGGATGCAGATGTTGAGTATCAACAGCTACTAGTATCACAAGA